AAATATTTAAAAAAAACTATTTTTGTTTTATTTTATTTACATATATTCCTAACAAAATAGTTAATAAGTAGTTAGTAATCCAAATATGATAAAAATAAAAGAAAACAACGGAAATCCTTAACTAGAAAAATTATTTTTAAAAATGAAGCATAAGCTCTATACGTTTGTTAAAAAAAAAATACAATGCCCAAATAAAGCACAAAATCATATGATATTAATAAAAAAAAAAGTAAAATATGAGGGGACAAAAAATAAAATCATTCATGAATTCGCAAATATTAATAATATATTAATTTATTTATGAAATATCAAAATGTAAAAAAAAAAATAAAATAAATAAATAAATAGCTAAAATCATCCCCCCATAATTGACAACTCCCCTACGCCCCCGATACTGACATAGATGTAGCCTTCAAGTAAAATAAGATATAATATAACAGCCCAGATCATTTTTGTATTTTATAGAAAAAGAAATGCATTTGCTATGCTTTGATCAGCCAACGCTATTCATGAATTAATTGCAGTTAAGTTATTTTGCTAAAGGCAAAACATTTATACAGAACTTATATACATATGTACATATTTTACTTACCATATAAATGTAAGAATAACAAACACAATCAGACATGTCTCTGCATTTACGCTTACATTTACATTTATGCTTATGTTTATATAGGCACATACACCATAGCCAAGTCAAAAATGTTGCTGTAACCCGACCACGTCCCTCTCGTCCCTTTCTCCCCACCTGCTTAGTAAAATGCTTGTACTCTTCCATAACATTAAAAGTCCATTAGTAGCAGGAGACGGCGACATTTTTTGAATACATTTATGTGACACTTTCTGTTTGGGTGCTGTGAGTCGCCTGCTTCGATAGCTGCGGCCGAGTCCAAAGAGCCGTTTATTGTGGCAACAGTCGAAATATTACGTATACGCCGTGCATATGCATATGCGTTCAGAACGTATGCAATGCTTCCTCTTGCCACTGCTAACATCCGGAATACCAAATATTTGTTTATTTAATTTTTTTTTTTTTTTTTTTTTTTTTTTTTTGTTGCTTTTCTGTCTGCACGAACCAAACCAAACTGAGCTGCATTGAACTGAACTGAACTCGCCCGCAGCTCAATTAATTGTTTGTCTGGTCGCAACATTCGGCTTATATACTTTATGATATATCATTTCGTTTTGTATTTCGCCAGCACGAACTAAATAATTATTTTTGGAGCTTTTGGCACACTCAAATTAGCTACTGAGCAAGAACAAATATTTATTGTGTTTTTTGTTGTTGTTGTTGAGCTCACACGAAAAGTTTTCATGTATGAAATGGAACTGAATGAAACTAAAATTAATTATATCATATTTTCATAAATGTGGAAATCAAATCACACTACATGAATATACCCTGTTGAATAGTTGAGAGAGAAACAGTCGGCCGATGTGAATGGAATTAAGGAGTAATATAACATATGCACTAAAACAATATACCCTGACTTTTGGATAACTTCAGTTGGCCCCTCGTTTATTCATGTTTTTACTTTTATTTCAGAACGGATGTATGCTCCCATAGTATTCTCCAGATATATATTTGAGTAAGTCAATCTATTGCTTAGTATAATAATTTTTATTGTAGATACGATTTATATAATTATAGATATTTAGAGATATATGTACATACATAGAAAAAAGTCACATAAAACAATCTCCATAGGAATTTATTTTTAGAAAATATAATCATATAATAGAGCTTTCGTTTCAGGGTACATTTTAGTGCAGCATGCCCAACAAAATTTTTGTTTAGTCAATTATTAAATAATTAGCTTCAAAAAACAGTCAAATTTGATTAACAAAGTTTCACTCGAATGTTTTCTGTGCCTATTCATATAGAATCTTTTGAGAGTTTTGCATATGAATGGAATGGTCTTATCCATATAGAAGTAGTTCGGAGTTAATTGCGCTGTCTCTTCAAAGTTTAAAAACCCTTTTTGGATGCATGTTAAAGAGCATTTTCAGTTGCCTTTTAATGTCAGCCACAAAAATTTTTATACACATTTCAAATGTGAGCTCTGTACTACAGGTGAAACAACAACAAACGGACAATTTGCGTCGACGACCCAGCGCTGATTATGATGACGAGCTGGGCGCATTAATGCTGATGATGTTGCCGCTAAGTAGCATGCCCAGATCCCATTGCTCGAAAAGGTTGTCAGCAATAGCAAGAGAGAGAGAGAGAGGGAAATGGGGAGGGAGAGAGAGAGGGAGCAAGAGAGAGTGAGAAAGTAAGTCGTAGCGGTTGCCAGGATAGCAACAGCTTTGAAAATTAAGTCGCGCTCAAGCCAACTCTCTCTCTCTCTCTCTCTCTCTGTCTGTGTCTCACTCTCTCCTATTAGTTTCTGTCCTTTTCGGTCTCGGTGTCTCTTTGTATGCCTCGCATGCCATTTCATTCTGTTGGCTTTGCAATTAAATATGCACATTCTCATTAAAAGTTTGCGCCATTAATAAACGCCAACAGGGATGTAATTTAATACGGTTAAAAAGTACGACACGTGGAGCCCAGAAAGCAAGACATGCAGACAGCGTGGTTCACAGTGGGCCAAACTCCACCTGCCCAGCCATGCCACCTACACACACACACACACACACACACATGCACACATATACACACTCATATATACTGCACATTACATTTAACATGCAGCCTTTGGAGAGTTGCCCTAACGCTGCCAAACAAAGCTCATAAAATTTGCAAATGTAAATAATTTTCTTAACGAAATTTTCACGTAGCTCTCGCCTGCTACTTTGGCCTCGACCACATTAAAGCTCGCCCGGACATGGCGCAAATTTGTCAAATGACAGGACCAGAGTCGACTCAACTCAACACAAGACACGACACATATGGCTAGTGCTCGCCTGCCAAGACGTTGTTCTGAGCTATTCGCAGAGCTCGCCCCACTACACATACCCAGCATAAATAATAAATAATTGAAAACGTCTCACGAGAATTCTTTGCTTCGTGTGAACTCTGTCAGCCAACAATTTGGCCTTAATATTAGAGCAGACCAGCCAAAGACTCTGGCTTTTACAAATCCGACTCTGAGACCTTTGGCATATTAGCTATGTAATTGCGTTTGCTGCCTCGGAGTGTTTGATTATAAGGAAACTAATTTAATGATGTCTTTAATTTCATTATCTTCATATTTTATGCATCAGTTTCATATTTCGTCTTTCATGTTGTTTTCATTTATTTTATTTTATTTGCTACATTTGTTTTATGCTCTAAAGACTTGCTGATGATTTCATAATGAACTCGATTCAAGCCATCTAAAAAATGCATTTTGTAACCCAAGACCTAAGCAAGATTTTTCATAAAATTTTAATTGGTACATAATATTTATGTAGTTAGTTTAATTAGATTATAATAATTAGGAACAAAAAGCAAACATTTTATTTTAAGTAATTTATTTTATTTGAAATATTTTATTTTGCTCTATTCTATTTTAATTATTTATAATATGTTTAAATTTTTAAATTTGTTATATACTCGTAGT